CCTGCTGAAACTGCACATTAATAAAAATACTACCCATTTTCGACATCTCCAATAGGACACTCCAAATACTGTAGACAATTTACAATGAGCTACTTTAAAAAAATAGCAAACTAACTTTTTATTTTCTGTAAGTATAATGTACAAATGATTTAAAGAGTCTAAATTTCATAAATTATTGATTTCAGAAATAAGGCTGTAACTCAGAAATATTAAAATATTATGTGTGTGCATGCATGTCTGTGCTCTCTCTCACTCTATATATATACACCATGTATATATGCGAGAAGGAGGGAGAACACACACGCATGCACACACACACTTATTTTACATATACCCTACAATGAAGGATAGGCTAATATAATATTGGTAATAGCTTTACCTCAGGGCTGTCCAACTGGAGGCCCCTGCGCAGCCAGGGAGGGCCCAAGGGGTGCTGTGTGTGATGCTGGCGCTGCCCACACAGAAGGGGAAGGGTTGTGGACACCTGTCCCCACAGTTTATGACCCATGTGGCATGTGGCCTGGGGACTGCACACAGATGCCACATACAGCCCTCAACCATATTGAAGTTGGACAGCCCTGCTTTACCTGGTGTATCTTGGAGGTTTCTTAAATTGCAACTGGCAGCCTGGTTACCAAATGTTATAAAAATATGTCTACATAGCTGAAAACTCACAGCTATTAATTGTATTCTGACTCATTAGGGTTTACCAATATTAAAAAAATGATGCGTTATTTTTGAACGTGCAAGCCCTGGAGGTTGGCAGTCTCAGCAAACTGACATTTGTAAGGGAAAGAATGACCCAATACTGTACAAATTAAATCAGTGCTGATGCAAATAATAAAATGTGCTAATGTAAAATAAGTCCACTTGCAATATCAGCATGCAAAGAGAGTCTGAACTATCACCACCGCCACCCTGTATCCATCCATTGTACTGGGGAAAAGCCACGGGAACTTTCCACAGCTATCACAAACAAGGGGAGGAGTCACTGGGGCAAGATTTACTCCACATCAATTGGTAAGGAAATACACCCTTGTAATTTCAGTATTATAATGTATAGGTAACTTAAACAACAGTCCTGCAACCAATATTGTTATTAAACTACATTTTTTTCAGTTTTGCCAGTTTTTCCTTCGTTTTATATTTATTACAACACACACATCTGTTAAAAATAGATTATGCGAGGAAGAGAAAGAAAAAGGATTAAAAGATACAGTTGTCTCCAATAGGAAAATAGTAAACTGGAAAATCAGTATAAAGACAGACATGCTAGAACTTATCCTTTCTGGTAAATAGTGAATGAAACATACGTACGCATATAATGCGAGGCATATTTATCACCAATGGTAACATATTCCATTTCACTGAAGAGGCCAATCCTCTCCATATCGGTTTTTCCTTCTGTAGACATGGCTGGTTCTGTGTGACAGCACACTTGGCTGGATAATGCAGATGTTTCTTATGCTCTTCTTCAACTGCAAATGCCTAACAAATGAAGTTACCATCAAAATCTGAAACAAAACGACTTCACTATTAAAAAGAACACCTACCATTTTCGGTACCGAATTTCTGTCATTCCAAGTATTAGCACTCCTTACTGGTACTTTTCTACTGTACTTACAGGAAAACTCTCTATAAAGCAAGTCATAGGTTGAATAGAGGAAATATAAATGGGTCTTCAGTCAGCTAGTCAGGATAAAGGCAGAATTTCAGCATACTTTACTAATACGAATGCTGCCTACTTACATAAAAGTGCATAATGCTTTGCCAGTCCCAATTTGTTTTCTGTTGCTTACATCCTATCAAACTCCTGCTATGCACATACCAATTCAATGAATGACAACAACAACAACTGCCTAATTACATGGCATGCTTCAGCCCCCATCTACTTTAATTGCCCTCTAGTTAACTGCATGCAAACTCTGTCTCCTTTGAATGCAATTCCCTTGAACTGCACCTGAAACATCCCAGGGGAAGCAGCTTTCAAACAGCTGCTACCAGAAGCCTAAAAAAATGATACAGCAGCGTTAAGAGTGATGTTGCAGTCGTGACACTCCAGAAGTTAAGCAAGAGTTTCTTTGGGTGAGATTTTTTTCTTGGATCAACTGCATAGGTGGGGTAGAGTTAGCCAAGCTTTTGAACACGTTGCATTGGACAGTGGCATCTCTAACTCTATCCCACATATATGCTTTATTGGTCCAAGACAGGATCTCACCTAAAGAAATCCTGGCGGCTGTCCTGAACTGGTCGATTCCCAGCTGCTACCTGCCCTCATCCTCAAGCTTTCTAACAGCAGCCCCCAAAGGGTGGCCTGGAGAAGGAAGAGCTGGTGGGTCTCAGGGCTGGCAAAGAAGTGCCACGGGGCTGAGAGGGCTCAGTGGCTAAGGAGCACCGCTTACAGACGAAGGGGGCGCCGCGCGTAGCCGGGCTCGCCCGGGAGGCTGTGACGTCACAACGCGAGGATTCGAGGCGCCGCTGTCCCCACGCACACTCCTGGCCCGGCTGCGCAGGCCTCATTGTTGACACTGGTTGCCCAGGATTCGGGCAAGCCCAACCCCTCCTATGTCTCCCCCCCCATATCTGCTGAGACTTGGTACGGCCCAGGCCAGGTGCGCCTGCGCTATGCCGCGGTGCGACTTGGGAATTGCAGTTTCTCCCCTTACCCTCTCACGTGACCTGCCCAGTGACGCGTCAGCTGTTCGGGTTGCTCTTGCAGCAGGGGAGGGGCCGGGCCGGGTCAGGCCATGCCATGCAGCCGGGGTTGCCCCTGCACGCGGCGCTGACTGACGTGGTGAGTCCGCCCTGCCGTGCCCTCGCGCAGCGCGGCTCCCATCCCTGAGCTGGCTTCGGGGCCCGGGAGCCCCTGCTCAGGCTGGGGCAGCTGTTCAACATAGCTCCTGGCTCAGAGGCGACAGCTTTTATTAGACCAACTAAATCCAGTAGTAGCAAAACAATCCTTTTTTTGCATTTTGGGCACTGGGGTGCAGGGGTCTGCCTGGGAGCCAGGGGGGAGCTGGGACTGGTGGATGCTGGGGGACTGCAACTTGCTTTCTCTCCCTGGAGCAGGATGGAGTCACCCAAACATGAGCGCGCTGGCCTGGGCAGACCAAAGTTTGAGACCCTGGAGGGACTGGGCGCGAGTTAACAGCATCCACGTGCAGACTCCCCTGTTTTAAATGCCCTTAGCAGGGTTTAAGGGTCATGTATAATTTAGGCCGCCAAAGCGGCCTCTTTCCTTAGCTTCCACCTGGCTTCAGACACATGCAACTTATGCCCTCGCTAGGGTTCGAATTACAGGGGAGCTTGAAGGACTGTACCCCCCATAATAGACAAGAGCCCCCCCTATAAGATTTGAAAATCATAACGTGGGCAGGTGTCTAGTTTTATTGGGTCATTGTGATGGGCAGCCTAATTTTTTTTTCCAGGATCCCCGCCTCCCCACAAGAATCAAAGTATAATTCAAACCCTGTGGAGGGAAACACCAGCCCAGGGACTGCTCCACCTGCCGGCAGCTCACCCTCCCCTCCCTGCTGCTGGAGAGGCAGGTACACACAGGGGGTTACTTCGCCCTAAATTGAAGCGGTGTTGTTAAAAACCCACCGCTTCAATTTAGGTGCCCCGTTTTGTCTACACATGCCCAAGAGCCAAAAAAGAATTTGAGTACCTAAAGCAGGAGGATTTAGGTGGAATGTAAGGTAGGACTCGCCTAGAATGGGGACAGGGGGAAGAGGGGGCTGGATTTTAGTTTATACAAATTAAATTTTACAGTATTTCATACGTAATGGTTATTGGATAAAATGCACACAATCTTTGAATCAAGAGCTGGTGCTCAGGCTTTCAGCCTCCCATATGAGTGGTGCAAGTGCTCTAACAGTGAAGCTGCAGTTATACTCATCTTTTTCATCTTTCTGGCCCTCAATCTTGGCACAATTTTGCTTCTTGTAGTAGCTGCCATAGTATGTGTTGCTGCTGAAGGCTAATCGGCTCAGGTGAGAGGCAAAACTAATTGAAATGGAATTGAAAGGGCCAAGACACAAGGCTGATGTTCCCTCTGTAAGTCTACAGTGCTTTGATCGGGTCTGTGCTGCACAGTTTTGCCAAAAGATCTGTAAATGCATCCATACTTGCCGCTCCCCTGTGATGGGTTCTCCCCTGTGATGGGAGAACCTCTTCTCTTGGCTGGCAGAAAAACACCAGCTCTGAGTGGTAGGTTTCTGCCATGGTATGGCACCACAACAGAAAGGTGCATCCATCTATTTGCACTATGTTTTCTGTGAATTACTGTGGCCTGTTTAACAACTAGTGCCTCCTAGAGTGCTCTGTGCACCCTGCTAGTAGAGATGCTGTATTGAAAATGTGCATGTGGGTGTGTGTTTGCTTCCCTGCTGTCTGAACAAAAGATTTGTATTGTAGCCAAGCCTTTTGTTAGCCAAGAGAGGTGTGTTAAAAGGTCTTCCTCTGACTACTCTTTGAAACTGTTTAGGAGTAGCTAACTGGCCGTTCCTTGGTTCTCTGCTCCACAGATTTTTGAGTTCCTTTTCCTTATTTGTTTTGTAAGTCCCATGCTAAAATGAACATTTAGAGACAATACAAGCAGAGGCAATTTTTGCTGTCTGCTGCAGTGTCCCAGCATAGAAAATTGATGCACTCAGCGCCTTATATGTTCTTCTAAGCTCAGCATAAGGAAAGCTGCTACAGTCCTTCCTTTTGCTACAAAACAGTTGGAAAAGATAGGAAACATAACATGTAATTTAAAGCAATAACCAAGACATTAACATGGTATTCAGAAATGCTTCTTAGATTTAAAGGGTGTGATCAATTATTACCAGTTCTTAAAGCAATCCTGTCCTAGTGAGCTGTATTTACTTGAAGCTTTGTGGGGACTTAAGTAATATAAACATTTAGGCCATTTGTTTCTATTAAATATATAACTTTTTCCTTTCTCCCCACAGGTTATTCTAGAAGCCATGGACATACTTTTTAGAATAAGAGGGGGCCTGGATCTGGCATTTCAACTTGCTGCTACTGATGGTGTGTTTATAAGAATACTACATGATCCTCTCAAAGAACATGAAATCTGTATAGAAAAGAATCAGCCAGCCACACCAGAACTCATTATTTCTTTACTTACTCCCCCAGAATTAAGGATTTCTCCCCTGGTCTCATAGGTAGGGATTTCTGTAAATCACACCAGAAGTCCCCCCTACAGTGGCTCCTTTAATATTTTTTGTTTTGCTGCTTCCCCACCCCACTTCTCCCCCTCCCCCTATTGGTGGAGGGACCCCTCCAGCTTACTGTCCACTTGTATCAATCTGTATTCTTTCTGAGTCATACATTATAATTAGGAGTAAAGAGTCCCAAAAAATGTATTTTGTCTTCATTGCCTTCTGTATAATTCCATTAAGGATCATGGGGTTGCACAGATGCATGGAGGCCAAAATTTGATTCTGTTGTTGTATTAATATAGGCTATGATTCTGTAAAGGTTTAAGCATGTGTATAACTTTATACTTATGAATAGTCCCATTGAAATCAATGCAATATTTATCTGTGTGCTTGAGGCTTGCAGGAATTGCTCAGTAAAGAAAAGATAAGTCTGAGCACAAGTGTGTCTGGAATGAGAGGTTTGTTTAATAGTACTTCTATTACTTATTTGTCAACCAGAATAAAAGTGAGCTCAGTCTTTTTTTAGTAGCATTTTTGGCTCTCTAAAGCTTAGTAGGCATAAAAATTGATATTGCCTTTGTGTATTGTTCAAATACTGGCATAAGCAGAAATTATTTTGAAGACTTTGAGCAAAGGTTTGAATAAATAGCTGAGTGAAATCTTAGACCCATTTAAGTTAATGGGTACCTTTTCCATTTAATTCAAAGGAGTTAGAATGTTCACTGTATTTACCTGGCTATTTTTCTGATTATAACTTATCATCCAGGACAAAATGCAACACTTTTGTTTTTGTTATGTTTTGTAGCTTGTAGTGAAAGTTAGGGGGTTACCTGAACAATAACTATATCCCTCTTCTGTTTCAGAGGCATCAACAAAAAAGGCATTAAAATATGTTTTCAGTGATCTTTCAAACAAACTGTCCTCAAATGTTATGGTATTAAGAATTTGCCATAGTTCAGTGTACATATGGCCTAATAGCGGCATGAACACAGTTCCTTCAGAACTGACTGATGATTCTGCTTGTAAGGAGATAATGCGATTTATTCAGTAAGTATGTTTACACATTAGGAATAAGTTTTTCTTTTAATAGATTAATTTTTATATTATAGACGTTTTCTTTTTTTGTTGATATTTCAGATATGACCAGGAAGCTGAGACCAAACGCAAACTTACTAAAAAGAAGGATAAAAAATTACAAGACATGGTATATTTTTCTTCTGTATTAACAGATTATAGCAAGTAAAATGCTATTAAAATTCATCACACAAGTGGACCTTTGCAGTCATGCAGAAATTCTTTGAATCCTCAGGCTTATCTGCATAGATCAGTATGTAGGAATGGGGCCTTGGTCTTTAATGCTGTTGAGCTATCTCAGCCATTTGTTACTGGCCCTGATTTTGTTCACAAAATGTATTAATAGTCTATTTTATTTTGAACTATTACCTTTAGCCATTTCATGAACCCTTAACGTTCATGAGACTTCTGAATCATCTTATCCTTTCTTTCCCTTCTTGGTGTATATATTGTTGGACCTCTTCTATGTGCATTGCTAGTACATGTAACCACCTCTGTTCTTTGCAGCAGCAGGTAGTAAACATAGACTTTATGTTGGAAATGACATCACCTTCAGCTGCATTAGCCCCAGTCATTGAAAAGGAAAATGAAGAACACCACTACGTTAGCATGACCTTACCAGTTGATGTTGTTGTCTCTATTTCTCCAGAAGAAACGTGGAAGAAGTAAGTATGTTACCTCTGGAGTTGTATTTGTGAATTTGTTTTACATTTTCCCTTGTTTCCTTAGAGTGGTGCTTTTAAATAATATAATTTCATTATCCACTATTTTATCTGGTTTTTAGCAACTGTTAATAAAGTAACATACAATACTTTGTGACAAACCAGGAAGTAATATTTGTAATCTTCACACTGGGTGAAAGCTTTTAATAGAGATTCTATAGTTTTGATGAGCGTTACTTTATGACACCTAATCTCCACTAGCTGCAATAAAGTCAATTTTATGCTGGGTTAACGTACTGATATGTTGAAGTGGTAATACTTACAATTTATTTCACGTAAAGGTTTCTATTATGCCCAGTTAAGGGGGGCTGAACCCGATGATCTCACAAGGTCCCTTCCAGCCCTAAATTTGTGTGAATCTGTGGTTATCCTGTTATTATCCAACATCACAGTGTTCCATCTCCATTAATTCCAAAAACCCTAAAAAGCATTTAACATATATAATGACTGATGGAAAGGTGACTTATCATTTTTTAAGAAACGGAAAATGCCAGAAAAATTTTCAAAAGATGTACCAGATTCCTTTTAATTATAGTATAGATGCTGGGCTGTGTGTGCGAATGAGAGAGATGGTGACTGTGATTAACAGCCTCAAACTCCTCTGTAGGGACTGCTGGTCTTCAGGTGACGATGAAGGGGAGTACAGAGGCAGACCCATAGATTTCTTTTTTTAGCGTTTGACTCTGCAAGGTCCTCAGAATTCTGCAGCCAGCAAAGCACATGCTTAGCTTTACTTGCATGAGTAAATGGTTTAAAACACTTGAGTCATAGGACTGAATCATTGAAGAGTAGCTTCCACATGCAAACAAACTGAACAGAGCATGACAAGGCTGCGACCAGATCTGCTAGTGTGGGTTGAAAGAGAAATGAGAACAGCAGGTATACCAAACTGGTTGTGGAAGATGATGAGCTATGAGATTAAATCAGCACTGCTGCTGTTCTAGTTCTTAAATATTTTCCTTTATACCTTACAGTGTACAAAATATCCTAGTTAACGCAGTTCATAAACAACTAACCGATATGGAAAGGTGCATTATGAAATATATGAAGGGAACATCTATTATGGTACCTGAACAATTTCACTTCATGTTGCCGGGAACAAGAGACCTTGTAACAATTTCCTATCCAATGGGTGTTCCAGATGATCAACTGGAGAGTTACAGAAAGGTAAAACCTACCATTTAGTTGATGTAGAGCAAATACAGACAGATCCCAATTTCAGATTATAAAGAATACTGAATGTGTGCATGTGAAATTTTTGGAACATGTTTTTGCAAGATCATCAGATGCTTTTTCATAAAGGCTTGGGACAGACATTCAAAAAGCCTGAGCCTGAGTTGATTCAATCTTTGTAGGTTAGTCTAACCTGCAGAGCTTAAACTGATTTTGAAGGTGGATAGACACTCGCCTTAAATCAAGAGATGCAGGCACATGCATGCAGTGGCTCAGGATAGAAGCTGGTGGGCGCTAAAGCAGCCCTTCCTTCCCTTGCATAGTGCTGAGCTGTGGGAGGGTGTGGCCATGTCCTGACAGGATGCTGTGATTAGGGAGGGGTTTAAACTCCCACCCTGGCTTGCACAATCCACAGCCAGTGTGTGCCTGGAGGGGGAGGGGGAAACCGCCCTCACCAGGCTTTTCCCAGCTCGCTGCTCAAGGGGCAGGAGTGTTGCCAGACCCCAGCCCCCGGCTAGCACTCTGAGGCACTCCCTTCTTCATACTGTCTTCAGCAAACCTGACAGGAGAGGGAGCCAGCAGGGGGCTGATAACGTAAAGTTTATCAGCCCGTCAAGAAAACAAAAGCCTTTCTCATTAGTTAAAGCTCTTAAACAGCTTTATCGAAGGAAGGAATGAGGGACATCAACCAGCTGACCTGTTGATTAGCTCCAGAAAGGCCCTAGTGGACACTATTGTGCCTGCCTCTCCCAGTGAAACTGGAGAGGGACACGGAGACCTCTCAGCATTAGCTAGCATGGGGGTGGCGTGATCATGACCAGATGCCAGCTTAGGGTCCATGCTGTGGGAGAGGGGAAGAGGGTGGGGATCCCTGCTTGAGCGCCAGGGGAAAGACAGGCAGAGACTGCTGTGCCTGTAGTCTCCAACTCCTCAGCTAGCCCTCACTGCTCCAGCTAGGGAGCAGAGGGGAGGGGCCAGCCCTACTCTCTGGAGCAGACAGCACAGCCCAGGCCAGGGCTGATTTAACTTAAACCAGGAAGGGGTCTGGGACAGGAGTTCCATAAACCAGTTTTGACTCAAATCAGTTTAGTCTGATACAAACAGTCCTCGGACTTAGGACACAATTCGTTCCTGAAAACTGCGTCTTAAGTCAAAACATTGTAACTCAGAACTGATTTTTCCTTTTGGAAACAACGTTATAAATGGGGGATTCGTTCCTGAACCAAGGCCCAATACCCTATTTTCACCAAAAGTAACCTAGAATGTTGTACTGAATCAATTATAGATGAGCAATATAGCTATATTAATGTATTTATATTGTAAATAGCAATCATATTGATTTGGCAGGACTTCTTTTAGGTGACTTTGCTGGATTTTTTTGAAGGGCTCTTGGTTGGACTTTTTGAAGGGTTCTTGACTGGTGTCTTCTCAGGAGTCTTGGCTGCCGGTTTTTCTGGAGTCTTGGCTGCTTTCTTAAAGAAAGTGTCCGTGGAAGTTTGGACAGATGTTCTCCAGGGAAATGGGCAACACAGCAAACTTGTTCACTGATGTGGTGTCACGTTGGATCAAGCATTGTAAAGTCTAAACTGACATTAGAAAGCTGAAACAAGGTGTCAATTTATAAATGTTGCAAGTGCAAAGTGTTGTAACTGGAAACGTTGTAAGTCAAGGACTGCCAATACTACATTCAACCAGGTTTATCTTAAGCCAGTTTAAGCCTTTTTGCACTTAACTTCTGTTCTGTTACAGGTTTAAACCAGTTTCTGATCACTTAAACCAGTTTATGTATAACTTCTGTCCCTAGCCAAAGAGAGTGTGCATTTCTAATGACTTGCATAAAAATTTACTGTAAATACAGTATGGATCTTCATTTGCTAGATGGTTGTGGTGTTCCCTCTTGACACTGGTCTATCTTTAAATTGTATTATATACTAGACAGTCTCTCTATTTTGGGTACACTGCTCCAAGTGTTTAAGATACTTAAAACACAGAATTTGCTTAAATTGTATGCTCAGTCTCTTGATTTATCACTACATGTCATGATTAGCAAATAGAGAGAGGTTTTCATGTTTCTTTGTTCTCAATATAACTCAAGATTGTGTGATATTTTTATAAATGTAATTTCCTTTGATTGTTTTCCGTTTAGGCCCCAGTTCTGCAAGGACACTTGTAAAACAGGGCTTTCTCTCACCCCATTGACTTCTGTCAAGCTGTACACAAGCAAAGGAGTTCTGTCTTCCTAGAGCTCCTTGCAGTATTGAGGGGACTAGTATAAAACCTACTTGTTCAAAACTAATAATTTTAGAAGTTTTCTATGAAAAATGACTAACCAGTTATATTAAAAATATTATGTTATTAAAAACCTTCATCCTTATTTGGAGTAAAAAATAAATTGACTTATTTTGATTCCACCATGTATGTAGGAATTGCATGAACTCTTCCATCTGCCATCTGATAGACCATATTTCAGAAGAGCAAATGCGTATCACTTTCCAGATGAACCATATAAAGATGGGTATCTCAGAAATCCACACGTGCATCTCCATCCACCTGGTTTGGAGTCTGGTCTGGTGAGTTTGACTTGAAGCATGTATAGGAAAATGCTTATTTTTATATGAGTCTTGTTATAAGAACTAACTCAAATAATTTACAAATCTAGTATCATGCTCAGCTTTACACTTTCGTTCAGGGTGGATTTGATTTAAATTACTGGTCAGGAAGGCTCAACTTAATCATTGTTTTCTACAAAAAGTCTATTCTTGTTGTTTGATATCCTTTATTCATTTAACTTCTTGGAACTTTGCACTTTTAGAGAAATGTAAGGGCTTGTCTCTGTGTACACAAACTTGCAGAGAGACAAAAAGGCTGATGGGTAGATAATCAGGTCTGTTATCTCTCCTCTCCATATACTGCTGTTAATTAAGATGTTCTATTTGGAGAGACAAATCCACAGTTTGAGAACTGAAACTAAGCATCACAGAGATGCTGGGGATCTTCTAAACTGAACACTGATCTTTACTAATCTATAGAAGAACCTCTGGAAACCCCATAAGATTAGGCTCTTAATATAACTAGTTCATGGCCTGTTGTGATCTATTTATAAAACTTTTCTAAAAAGGTCACATGAATATATTGTCTCAAATAATATACAGTTAGAAGTTATTATCCCTATTCCATGATGATATCTTTGAGCTTTAACAAATCTTAAATTAAAACTATCTATATATAGGGGTGGGGGTTTTTTTGTAAAAAGCTTCTTGAAAAAAAAATACAATTAAATAAAAACATTCTAATTGTTAAATAAAACATCTGGTTTTTAATTTTTTTTTAAATAGTTGAGTTTTATCCACCCTGCTTTCATTTCATGTGGTCTATCTTGATTATCTGATTACTTGACTGAAATGTTTTGATATCTAATAAAAAACAAAATTAATCTGGCAAAACAGTTAAAATAATGCAGAATCTGACTCATCATTGTTCACCTCTTCTAGAGAAGCTATTTTTTCTATGTAGGTTGACAAGCTTCACAAATTGGAGTTATAAGCTGAATCTAGAAAAAACTCATTGTTTTCAGTTATAGCAAGGAGTAGTTCATTTTGTTTTTAAAATATTTGGCAAATTTGTTTTTTCCCCTATGACATGGATTTAGCTGCAGTGTAGTAAGTATATAGGAAAAACTATACAATAGAAGAACTCAGTGTAAGTATACAATTAAAAGCCACCCTTGACTGCTGCAGCTGAGCACAATCAAATGATTTGATCTGGAAGAGACTTTGCTTGCATTCTCACACTGCTCTGCAAAGTGAAACCATGGCCAAATATGACGGTGATTGTCTCAAACTTTATGAAGTGGGCTGCACATTGAAAAAGCTGGAGACCCTTGACCTCTGGCCAGAATTCTTATCCAGGGCAAAAGCAGCAGTTAGAAGAGCAACAATTTTTAAGCAAGGTGTCACAGCACCCTGGGGTGCCTGGAGATTCTTTCAGGGGTGCTGTGAGATGTCAGACAATTTAGAACGATTAGATGTGCAAACACGATTCACAAGGTAAACCTAGAGATTTCAAATAAGAATCCTTAGTGTTAGAAACATTCTGACTTGTGATCTGTGTTATTTGCAACAGAAAAATTGCTCTGTTATTTTTTTCCATAGTCAAAAAACAAATGAAAGCAAAGAGCTGGCATTTTCTGAGGGCTGTGTTGAGTCTAGTTAGGGCTTTGTTAAGCCTGACAAGGGTTAATTTGAGTCTAAAAAAGGAGAAAACCATTGCACTAGAGGGAACTGAAAGGAGGAGTTGTCCCCATTTCTGTAGCATTATTATAAAGGATACACCACACCTTTAGAATCTGTTATATATTATAGTTTCTCCTCTTTTTATTTTAAATTCAAAATAGCACTAATTCAAATATGTTCCAAAGCTGTAGGGAACAGCCTAAAAGTTAAGTAACAGCTGAAGAAAAATGGGTTTTAAGAATATTTGCGGCCCACTCTGATAAGTGTCTTTTCAACCAATTTTTTTTCAGTGACAATACAGGTTTTATAGACATTAGGGCTGGAAGGGACCTTGGAAGATGATCGAGTCCAGCCCCCCGCCCGAAGGGCAGGAAGTCAGCTGGGGTCATAGACTCCCAGCAGCATAACCATCCAATTTTCTCTTGAAGGTGCTCAATGTAGGTGCTTGAACCACCTCCAATGGCAGGCTATTCCAGACCTTGGGGGCTCGGACAGTAAAGAAATTCTTCCTTATGTCCAGCCTGAAATGGTCTTGCAGTAGTTTATAACCGTTCTACCTCGTCATCCCTTGGGGCTCTCTGGTGAACAAACGTTCCTCCAGATACTGGTGGTCACGCCTGATAAACTTATAGGTGGCCATCAGATCACCCATGAGCCTGCGCTTTTCCAGGCTAAAGAGCCCCATAGCTCTCAGCCTGTCGTCGTAAGGTCTGTTTTCCTGACCTTTGATCATGCACGTGGCTCTTCTCTGGACTCTCTCAAGCTTCTCCACATCCTTTTTGAATTGTGGGGCCCAAAACTAGATGCAGTACTCCAGCTATGGCCTCACCAAGGCTGAGTACAAGGGGAGAATGACGTCCCAGGATTTGCTTGAGAAGCATCTATGGATGCAAGCTAACATTTTGGTCGCTTTACTAGTCGCAGCATCTCATTGAAGGCTCATGTTCATCTTGTGGTCAATGATGACCCCCAAGTCTCTTTCTTCCGTAGTGCTAGTCGGCGTAGCACTGCTGAGCCTATAAGGATGCTGCAGGTTTTTCTTCCCAAGGTGGAGAACCTTGCATTTTTCAGTGTTAAACACCATCAGGTTCTCATCAGCCCATTTGCTGAGCCTGTCCAGGTCAGCCTGGATCGCCCTCCTGTCTTCAGGTGTGGATGCTTTGCCCCAAA